GGATAGATCAATAGGACCGATAGATAGATAGATACGATAGCAGTAGATAGATAGATGATAGATAGATAGATAGTAGATAGATAATAGGATAGATGAGATAGATAGATAGATTAAATAGATAGATAGATAGGAAAGATAGATAGATAGAATAGATAGGATAGATAGATAGATAGATAGCATAGATAGATTAGATTAATAGAATAGATAGATGGATAGATGGATAGTGATGAATGAAGTATGGATAGATGGATGGATGGATAGGATTGGATGGATGGATGGAATGGATGGATCGGAGGGATGGATGGTATGGATGGATGGATGGAATGGGATGGAGGATGATGGGATGAATGGATGGATGGGTATGGAATGGATGGCATGGGATGGATGGATGCGATGGAATGGATGGATGGGATGGAGTGGATGGCGCATGCGATGGATGATGGAGGGTATGGATGGATGGATGGATGAAGGATGGATGGATGGATGGATGATGGATGGATGGATGGATGGAATGGATGGATGGAGGGATGGATGGAATGGATGGATGGATGGATGGAATGGATGGATGGATGGCGAGGGATGGATGATGGAATTGGATGGATGGCATGGATGGAATGGATGGATGGATGGCATCGGATGGATGTAATGGATGCGGTGGATGGATGATGGACATGGAGGATGCGTGGATGGATGGATGGATGATGGATTGCTAGGCGGAAGGGAGGCCTTGCCGCGCTGCCGTTGGATGGATGGCAGTTGATGGTGGATGATGGATGGCGATGGATGGATCGGACTGGATGGGATGGATGGAGAGATAGATAGATAGATAGATAGATAGATAGAGAGATAGATAAATAGATAGATTAGATGATAGAGTAGATAAATAGATCAGACGTTAGATTAGAGATAGTATAGATAGATAGATAGCAGTAGATTAGATAGATAGATAGATAGATAGATAGATAGGATAGAGATAGATAGTATAGATAGATAGATATGATAGATCGATCGATCGAGTCGCTGATAGACTAGATAGATAGATAGATAGATACAATAGATAGATAGATGATAAGTAGATAGATAGATCAGATAGATCGGATGATCGGATGGATGGATGAATGGATGGATGGATGGATGGATGGGGTTGTACACTCATGGTACACTCATGGGGTTACACTCATGGGGGTCTTTTTGTTATATAACCAGCGAGTGACACGAAGTTTAGTTTCTCCGATATTCTGTCTAGAACCTGTTTCGGGCGTAAGCGCGTGCCCTATCCCTCCTACCAGTGTCCAACCAAAACACAAACAAAACAACGTTTAACATATTTGTGGTGAAATGTGAGCGCAAGTCTCGTAGCCAACACATATGTACATCCGCAGGCATCTTACATAACATCGCGCGACCTTACAAAGACCCTTCAAATGTATGTTTTGTGTTCGTAGAAACGCATAGATGCGCCCATCTGGTATGTTATTGCCATGTTGACGTGTGTAACCCGTGTATCTCGGGACAAATGCGTGTATGAGCTACAGATCGCCCCCTCATCACCATCATGCGTCCTTACTCTCACCTTACCATACGTCCTCATTTAAGCTTGCTTTCGCTCCCTGTGAGAAAAATGGGCACCTGACGGAATCCGGTCTCGTTTCTTCATCAAGACTATTTGTCCATTCGCAAATGCAAACAGACGCGCGTATATATATCGTCTGTTTCGGCTGCTGCTGAGCAAATCATTTACTACATGCAAAGCCTGTCTTTTTTTTTTTTTTCATCTGTGACGGATAATGTTTATGAGTCTGGGTGATATAAACCCATAATTATGATACATAATATCACCAGCAAACAAAGTCTTAACTGATAACATAACAGCAAAAATATATAAAAGATTCGGCTATTTGTAATAATAATCCCGAATAATATAATAAACAATTCGAAATAATATAATAACAATCCGTATCCATATAATAAACAATCCGGATCTATTGTAACAAACAATCAGGATGTTGTTTAGCGTTGCCAAACATTTTCGGGTTAGCGTCTGCAAAATAGTTTCAGCTGCAGAATTTTCAAAACAAGATTTCAGTCCATCTAGACAGTCTCCAGACATCCCCGTAGCTATCCGACGTGCATACGCACGACGACGTGCTGCAAACCCCATGAGCGACGGCGTGACCGTACTTATACTTAGTACCTTGAGAAGGAATAATCCAGTTCGTGATAGAAATTAAACCCAGTTATCGATAAACAAGCTCCACGCAGGATTATAGGTAATATACGATATGTTTTATTAATAATTCCCCCCTTTTACCATACAATACAACCGCAGAACCACATCCGTTATAAATTCGTCAGTATTCTAATTACTACCAGACGCTTGCCTACAAGCGCTGTTCCTATACCGTTGTTAACTCGATTAACCCGTTACTATTATCCAAACTTTTACTGGAATCCAAAACTTGTGTTTTAACCGGAATAAACTTTAATATAACTGCTCGCACACAGTGTGTCCATCTTGCACAAAGACAACGCAACGCGCACACGCGCGTAAGCGCGTGCGCTTTCTCTCGCGAACACATGCAACCCCCGACCCTGACCCCTACATCTTTCTTCTCTCACCAAAACCCCGCCATAATCCCACATGTCTACACCCGCTCTGCTCACCACCCATTTCACAGTCACCCTAGAAACTCCCGACCTAAAACACGTTTACAATTCTCCCTAATACATCAATGTAGCCGCAACAAGATGCGCGACGCTGTGTCTAGATAGACTATCACTAAAACAACCCCTAGTTTAGCTCCACTGACTACTCTATTTAAACATATGTACATCACATCTCCTGATCACATGTTACTATTATATTCTCATCTCATCGCGTTACGATCGTGTACTTTACGGCGCGAACTATCATGATTGACGTGTTATACGAACCCCCCTATTTACGTTAGCTTTCTGACAACGCGAATATAACCGCGGTATCTCAAAGCTATAATCCCCGCGACACAGATACTTATAAACACTATTCCCCTTTTCTCAGCCCCCATTCCAGCTGTGGAATCCATTGATCCATGTCTCTAGTTATAGACCTAATTATGTATATAGCGTGACAATAGGTTCTAGAAACGCTTACGTGGGAATTATCCTTAAACGCAGATTACCGCGCTTCAATCTTATTTGTGTATTCTGTTTTGTACATTGGCTGGCCTCTGTATGCCATTGTAATTCTTTTGGTCCTAATAGCCCAATTGATAGCCCCCCCCCCGTGCACGCCTAACTTGTGTAACTGTCTACTTTGGCGATACACTTTGTTATCCGATCTGGGCTGATGCAGATATCACCAGCTCGAAAAGATTGCAGGATCATTCGCTTGTTAGGTATATCAATATTATTCTAACGTACGTTACACTTGAATTATTTCACATGTACTGCTTCTGCTGCTACTGCTACTGCTGCTGCTGCTGCTGCTGCTACTACTACTATACTACTACTACTACTACTACTACTACTACTACTACTACTACTACTACTACTACTACTACTACTACTACTACTGTGTGTATGTATGTATGTGTGTGTGTGTGTTGTGTGTGTGTGGTGTGTGCTGTGGTGTTGTGTGTTGTGCTGTGTGTATGTGTGTGGCCGGTGTTGTATGGTGTGTGTTGGTGTGATGGCTGTGTCTGCGCGGTTGTGTGTGTGCGATCTGTGAGGGTGCTGTAGTGTCGGTCGGTGTGCGTGGGCGTCGCGCTGCGTGCGTGCCCGCCCCGAGTTCACGTGCTCGCCGGGGCTGTGTGAGTGTGCCTCTCTTGACCCTCCTCTTTCTTCCGCGGTAATCAGGAGCATCGTATGCTAGCGTATCCACTATTGTGCTTCCACTCGCCTCCGCGATATCGTATGCTCTACCGAAGACGCCTCTCCCGACCCTGGTAGATTAAGCGCTAATTAAACACGCAGGTCATTTTACCCAATTGTGCGTGTGCATGTCCGACCAACGCGCAGAAGGTCATGCGAGGTCCTCATGGCAGGCGGGCTGGCACGTTCCCGACCCTGGGGACTGTCTACTCGGCTGCCCTCGGCCTACATGAGCCCTCTATAGTACCACAGTGCACTTGGCGACAGGAGGTCAGTAAAAAACTGACGCAATCTCATGCAACGCTTGCTTAACATACTACGCTATCTCAATTAACTCCATTGTAACCGTGTCGGCTGGTGTTCACTGTAAATACCTTTCTTATCACAAAGACTAATGCAGACTCTCCACGCCACTCGCCGCTCGCGAGTGCTCGGTGTCCATTATAATGCAATTACTATATAGAACTCTCTATATATCATTATAATGGCGACACAACACCCGTCAAGGAACGACGCACACAGCCACACAGAACACGACACGAGAGGGCGCCAGTACGCGCCGACTGGACTGCGCTTCATGCTGCCGAAGTCGTACATGAGCATATTACAGCGCGGTTCGTGCGGATCTGTGGTCGGCTGCGAACACCGGGAAACACCGACCGGTCACTGAGTGGAACGGAGGTGTTAGGGGGACGCCGGCGGGCGTGTGTTTAGGGGGGCGGGGGTGTTAGGGTACGGGTGATTAGGCTGGGGGCAGGAGTAAATTAGCACGCGCACTCATTGTGCGATCCGCATTAGCTTCTCTTATTACTTGTCTCACTCTCCTCTGCTGTCTCGCCTCCCTTCCTCCTGCGCGCCTGCTTATTTCATTATCTCCTCTCTCAACCAGCAGCGCATCCCGCAACCTCCCCTCACCCTCACCCTTCCACACCGCAGTCCACGCACTCCGTTCCCTCTCACCTCCTCACCTCGCAGCATCCGCGCATCTCTCCCTCCCCTCACCCTCCCGCGCAACCAACCGCACTCCCCTCCCCCTCATCGCACTCACCAGCGCCATTCGGCGCACTCTCCTTTCCCCCTTTCCCCCCGCAGCATCCCACTGCCACTCTCCTTGCGCCCTCCTCATCCATCAACCGGCCAAGCCATGGTCTCGCGCCACTCTCTCACCTCAACCCTCCCGGAGCATTCCCGCGCACTCTCTCCTCCCACTCACGCCTTCACCGCAGGTCCCGCCGCACTCTCCTTCCCCCTACCCTCACAGCCACGACATCCAGCGCCACTCTCCCTACCCCTCAGCGCTTACAGCAGCATCCCGCCGCACTCTCCTCACCCTCACCTCTCACCGGCAGCCTCCCCCGCGCACTCCCCTGGGTTCGCCCCTCACCCTCGACCGGCGGATGGACGGCTCCCCTCCTTCACCCTCACACAGCAGGCATCCGCGCACTTGCTCCCTCCCTCTCACCCTCCCCGAGCGGCATCCGCGCGAACTCTTCCTCCGTCTCACCGCTCACCGCAGCATCCCGCGCACTCTCCTTTCCTCTCACCCTCCCAGCCAGCCATACCGCGCACTCTCCGCTCCCTTCACCCCCCCAGGCGATCCACGCACTGTCCTCCTCCCTCACCAGCAGCCATCCCGGACGCACTCCCCCTCCCCCTCTACCTCTCACCGCAGGATCGTCGGCGGCACTTCTGCCCCTCCCCCTCCCCACTCACAGCTCAGGCATCCCGCGCACTCTCCTCACCTCTCTCACCCTCACCGAGCAGCATCCCGCCGCACTCTCCCTCACCTCTCACCCTCACAGCGATCCCGCGCCACTGTCTCCGCTCACCTCTTCACCTCACCAGCCCATCCCGCGCGACTCTCCCTGCACCCTCACCTCACCGGCAGCATCCCCCGTACACGTCTACCCTCCCCCTCACCTCACCAGCAAGACATCGCGCGCACTCTCCCTACTCTCCCTCACCAGCAGCATCTCGCGCCACTCTCCTCACCTTCACTGTTCACAGCAGCATTCCGCGAACTCTCCTCCCTCACCCTCACCCCGCCGCATCGCGCGCACTCCCCCTCCCCTCAGCCTCGACCGAGCCAGCATCCGCGCCTGTCTCATTACCCCTCTCACCCTCATCCAGGCGAGCATGCATCCGCGCGGATCGCTCCCTCACCCCTACTTCACCAGGCAACGCTCTCCGCATGCCTCCTTCCCTGTCCTCCTCACCCTCACCCGCGTTCCGCGACTCTACCTCCTTGCTCACCATCAACCGCAGGCAGCCCGCGCACTCCTTGCTTCCCTCCCCTTTCACCTCCACCAAGCAGCATCCGCGCACTGCTCCCTCCCTCTCACCCTTCACCAGCAGCATCCGCGGCACTCTCCCTCACCCTCACCCCTAACCACGCAGCATCCGCGCGCACTTCTCCCTCCTCTCACCCTCACAGCAGCTCCCGCGCACTCTCCCTCACGCCCCTCCACCCTACACCAGGCAGCATGCCCGCCGCACATTCTCCCTCCCCTCACCACAGCGAGCAGTCCGCGCGACTCTCCCTCCTTCACCCTGCACCAGCCAGATACGCCGCCTCGCACTCTCCCTCCACTCTCACCCTCACCAGCGCAATCCCGCGCGCACTCTCCACTCTACCCTCACCCTCAGCCCAGCAGTGACATCCCGCGCAACTCTTCTCCCTCCGTACCCCCCTCATCAGGCAGCTATCCGCGCACTCTTCCCTCCTCCTCACCCTCACCAGCGCGCCCGCGCAGCTCCCCCCCCCCTCCCCCTCATCATCACCAGCAGCATTCCGCGCACCCCCTCCCCAGAACTCACACCCTCCCCCTCCACCTTTCACCAGGCTGCATCCCACGACTCTCCCTCCGCCGCCCTCGACCTCACCAGCAGTCCCCGCGCACTCCCCCTCCCCTCCACCTCACACAGCAGCATTCCCCCACTCTCCCTCCCTTCCTTCACCCTCGACTCCAGCAAGAT